CTGGTCTCGAACTCTTAACCTCAAGCGATCCTCCCGTCTTGGCCTCCCAGAGTGCCAGGATTACAGGCGTGAGCCACCGCGCCCGGCCTGATATTTGTCTATTTGCCAAGATTCTTACACACTGCCCACTGCTGGATCTTCATGATGGCACAGCCGCTGCAGAGCTCTGTTCGGGCTGGTACTGGCCATCTCTGATGATTTCTGTGTTCCTGCTGATTAAGTCCCTGGCATATATGTGGGTGCGTGGACACAGCCACAGATACCCGTTCACTTGGGGTGATTGATTCCCTGGAGTCCTGATTGGAAAAGCTTCTGGTGAGCGAATAACAGACATCTCTACAGCTGCGTTTCTGTCTTCATGCAAACGTGGACACCTCTGCCTTCCCGGGGCTTTTTGTTCCCCAGGCTCCCAGCTCTCTGAAAATTACGGAGTGGTCAGGACCACTGAGCACTGGCTGTATTAATTATACAGTACCACTGTATTCCACACAACATTGCTCTTGGCTAAGAAAAGAGGCTACAGTCTGATGCCCTTGGAATTCACTTGACTTATCAGGTATTATGTGATTTAGAAGCAACTAATTTTATAGAACAATGGAATTGATGACTCAGCTATGCCAGGCTGCAGTGCTGCCCTGCAGAGCATAAGATAGGCTTCAAATCAACATATATAATTCTTTGTCTTGTGTAGCCAGAATACCTCGGAGGAGGTAGAGGTAGGTGTGGCACCTTATGTGATTCCACCTAAGGACTCTAAGAGTTTGCCTCCTGTCTCTGAGGTTCTAGGTTCTTCAGGTCAGAGGTTTTAGTATCTTGGGAGGAATGTTTCTAACCAGAAAACAAGAAGATGATTCCACTGGATTTCAGGCCCCTCATAGCAATAGAGGAACAGAAGAAAGAGGGACGAGAGGAAACGGAGTTAATACTACTTACTGAGGGTTGAGAGGTACACGAGTGGAACCCAGGGGAGCCCTGGATCACCACCTTGTGCTATTGTGTTAATCAGGATTCTTTTGATTATTAGTGGAAGAAATTCTTCTCAGGTTAGGCTTGGCAAAATAAGGGCCTCATTGGGAGGCATACAAAACTATAAAGCCTTGGGAAACAGGGACTGGAACATTATCAGGACTCTGTCTTTCATCTCAGCTGCTGTGTGTCGGCATCATTTTCTCCTGCTCCGTACTGACTTCTTTTGCTTGGCGGGGAATAGGATTGTTGCCGCCTTAGGCTCACATCTTCCTGCTTCATCTTCCTTTAATTGCATTTCAGAAAGTCCCAGAGAAGGACTGATTGGCTCACCTGGAATGGTGTTCCTATCCCAGACTCTCATTTCATCCCTGTGGTTAGGGCTGGGAGAGACAGAGCCCAAAGGAGAGGCAGGGGAGGGCTGTTCTGGGCACACCAAACAATTAGGTGACTTTATAGTGCTATGGTATGGTGAAAACTGCATAACCCTAGACCACCGATACTCAGACCTTTTAGGAGTGAGGATTTGGGTCACCTCCTAAGAGGAAAAACCCAACTGAAAGGGAACTTGCAGGGGATAAGGGAAGGGGGAAGATGAGTTAAGCCACAGAACCTGATGTAGAAATGGGGCTGAGGTCTCCACCTGTATTTTCTTAACTGGAAGAGGGTGCAAAATTGGAGTTACTTCTGCCTTTTCCTTTTTATTTCCTTTTCCCTCTTAAAACAGGAGTTGTCATAATCACAAGAATTTCTTTTCTATTTCCCTTATTTTTGTATATAGGATTTGTGATTTTATTTGCCGTTTAGTCTCCAGGTTGCAGAACGGTGAGTTGGAATCAAGTTGGGACGGGAAGAGGATGCCTCACATCATCAGAGTGAACAAGTACTGTGTTCCGTTTTCTTTGATTGCAGACTGGGTCCCCAGCCTCTGCTCATGTCCCCCAAAGAGGCAGGGAGCGAGGGGGTCAGGCTTCAGTAAAGTAGAACTCTGAGAAGAATCCACTGGAGTTTGGAAGCCCGGACCCTCTCTTACCACGTTGCTCCTCCTCACCCTAGCAAAGGCACAGGCGCGCGGTGCGCAGTCACGGGTGCCGTTCTCTGTCCCGGGGAGGAATCCACCTGTCCCGGGTGCTGGACGTTAACCCTGAGCCCTGTCCCAGATCGGATTTTCTTTCTTCTCTTAAAACGTAGTTTTCATTAAGTGACTTTAATTAAGTAAATACAAAATAGATATGTATTTCCGAATCGTGATAAATGTTATGAAGAAAAGGAACCAAAGTACCCTAACCCTAAATGTAAAAGGGGGAACTAATGTGGTCTAGGGAGTCAGGGTTTCTCTGAAATCTGAAATATGAGTACGTCGAGAGGGGGAAGAGAATTTTAGGCAGAGGGAAAGGAGGAAAGGAGCGCGAGGCCCCTCTGCAGAGAGGGAGCGTAAAGGATGAGGCTGCTGCCTTAGGGCTGTCCCTGCAATGGGGACCACAGAGAGGCGTTTAAAGCCAGAAGGTGGAGTCCGATCAGATTTTCATCTTGGAAATGTCACAGTGTCTGCGGTGAGCTGAACCGATCCGAGGGGCCCAGCGAATGCTGGAGAGAGGACGCAGGAGACAACACCGGACCTGGAAGGCCCGGGTCAAGGCAGCCAGAAGCCGTGGCCGGGACTGGGGGGAGGCGGTTCCGGCGCGGCCCGGCGGAAAAACCGAACCGGCCCACGTGGGCCGCCCGCCCCGCCCCGCCGCGCAGACGCCGCCTGACTCCGCAGTCCGGGCCTGGGGCTGGGCGCGCCGCCCGGGAGCCCAGCACCCACGCTGGCCGCGGGGACGCCCAGGCCGGGGGACCCCCACCCCAGCCCAGAGTGACGAGTTCCCGAACCCGGACGGGCGGAACCAGAGCCAGCCGCGCCAGAGCGGGCGCCTCTAGGCCGTGAGTCTGGGCCCCATGGGGAGGGGGGCTTGGGGCCCAGCCGCGGGAGCGGGGAGTCACAGCCCCGGCCTAGCTGCCTCCTTAGAGAAGATTAGGGAAGGACGTTCTCTGTCCTCTGTCTCCTGGGGTAGTCTCCTCCTCTGCAAAGCCAGGAAAGGAGGCTGCCTCCCCTAGTCTTACACAGCTACCCCCCTCCCACCGCACCTTGGGGTGCCTGGGTTTCCATTTCAGCAGCTCTGAGAACCCGTGATCCCTACGCCACCCTCACCCCCACCCCCACCCCATCCCAGCTTCCTTCGGGTCCTCGCCCAAGTTTAGGAAAAAGAAAAAATTGGGGCAAGGGGAGATCTCCAAGCATCTTCCCACAAGCCTTGCTGAGAGGGATGGGGGTACGCAGGTCACAAAGCTGTCCCTACACCACACCCTCCAGGACTTCTGCCCGCTACTGGGGGTGGGGAGATCCTCCTAGTGCCTGCTCCACTTACAGTATCCCCCACGCTTCATGATCCTCAGTTTTTCTAATCTTAGTAGTAATGTGCGGTTAGTCGAAACCTCCTGTCAATCCAAACCCTACTTTTGGTAGAAGCTGGTTATTGGGGAAGGAAGAGTGTGTGGTGTGCCCTCCCTCCAGGGCCTTAGGATGCAGCAAGCTGGGGACAGGGACACAAGATAGTAGGCACGTGCCAGGGGCCCTGGTGGGAAGAGGGCAAGCTCAGGAGTGATGCTTGACAGTGGGGGAGGGGATTCCCTAGGGCAGGGAGTGAACTGAACCCAGCTCTTCCAGCCTGGGCAGTGAGCAGTAGCCTCTTGCTACCTCGGCTCTGTCTTCCTGAGCATGGAAGTGCACTGCAGTCCCCAATCACGTTCACTCAGTCAGCAAGTGCCTGCCTGAGCTGACACACCTGCTACTGCTAGGCTCTGTGCTGGCTCCTGGAGTATGACGGAGGACATATGGGGGAGTTCCACGTCTGGTCAGGGAGCCAGATTATAAACTTCTGTGATAACACCTTTAAACAACAAATGCCAGTTCAGTAGAAATTTACTGACCATCAACCATGTATGCCAGGGACGGGACACAAGCTTGGATAAGCCAGTGTGTACTCAGAGCTGTGGGGACCCAGAGGAGGGCATCATTAACTGTGTTTGTTTGTGTATTTGTGGGGAGAATATCAGGGAGGCTTCAGAGAGGTGGGAATATTAGAGCTGGGTTTTGAAGTACAAAAAGGAATTTGCTGGGTGGAGAAGGGAGGCGCTCAGAGGGCAGGGGAGAGGAGAGGAAGGATATTACAGGCCAAAGGAAAAGTGGGAGGAGGACGAAACACAGTGGTGTGTTTTCAGATCTCTGAGCTGGTTGGTGTGATGGAGGCAGAGAGGTGAGAGGCGAGTGCGGAGGGGTGAGCAGGGGCCAGATCAAGCAGGGCCTTGTAGGCCATGTGGAGGTTTAGCCGGAGTTTAGGGAGGGCACTCGGAGCTGTGACGAGTGCAGTGTACATTTTTAATTGGAGGAAGAAAGATCAGTGAAAAGGCTGGGACAATAATCCGGGACAGAAATGGCCTGACCCAAGCGTAAGTGAAGAAGAAGTATTGCCAGAATTTGGTGACCAATTAGATGTGGGAAGGAAGGAGAGTGAGGAGTCCGGGATGCTCCCCGGCTCTGGCTGGAGTGACTGGTTGGAGGGCAGAGCCATTTTCTCAAGGACGCTGGAGGAGAGCTGATTTGGACGTGTAGACTTCGAGGAGCCTATGGTTGGTTGCAGGGTTGGGTAGCAGTTGGATCTGGGTTGGAGACAGATCTGAGAGTCACCAACATATGATGGTTTTTCAAGCTACAGCAGAGAATGAGGTCATCTGGGGAGAAATGCACAGAATGAGTAGACAGCCTGCCTCCGAGGGCTGAGGAAGAACCCCCTGCAGGAGGCTGAGAACCCACAGGCAGAGAGGGAGGAGGAAAACCATGAAGGGAAGTATTACCAGAGTCAAGGGAAAGGGATTGCTGGGGAGTGGCCAGGCTCTTGCTTGTTGCCTTGTCCCTGGAGCTAGGTGGCCATGACTTCAGGCACCTTACCCTGTCCTGCTATGACCCATCCTTTTGCTTCCCCTTTGCAGACCAGATGTTTGCCATCCAGCCAGTGCTGGCCGAAGGGGGCCAGTTCCTGGCGGGCCCACCCCCTGGAGTATGTCAGCCCGAGCTCCAACCAGACAGCAACTCCAACTTCATGGCAAGTGCCAAGGATGCCAATGAGAATTGGCATGGGATACCAGGCAAAGTGGAACCTATCCTGATGAGGAGTTCCTCTGAATCATCCTCTGACAACCAGGCCTTCCAGGCCCCTGGACTCCCTGAGGAAGGGGTCCGCAGCCCCCCAGAGGGGGCAGAGATTCCTGGGGCTGAGCCTGAGAAGATGGATGGTGCTGGCACCGTCTGCTCCCCTCTGGAGGACAACGGCTATGCCAGCAGCTCTCTGAGCATCGACAGCCCTGGCAGCAGTCCTGAGCCTGCCTGTGGGACCCCTCGAGGCCCTGGCCCTCCTGATCCCCTTCTGCCCTCAGTGGCCCAGGCTGTGCAGCAGCTGCAGGCGCAGGAGCGCTACAAAGAGCGGGAGAAGGAGAAGCACCACGTGCACTTGGTGATGTACCGTCGCCTGGCACTGCTCCAGTGGATCCGGGGCCTGCAGCACCAGTTGGTTGACCAGCAGGCACGGCTGCAAGAGAGCTTCGACACGATCCTAGACAACCGAAAGGAGCTTATCCGCTGTCTCCAGCAGAGGGCAGCACCATCCAGGCACCAGGACCAGGGCTAGGCATATGCCTCCACAAGTGTGCAGGGGTATGTGTGTATATTTGCAGGCATGTGTGTGGTTGTGCACAGTGAGTACATGATTGTTGCTGGCATGCGTGCAGGTAAGCATGAGAGTGTGTATGTGCTGACATGTAGGCAGGTATGTGTGGGCATATGTCATTAAGCATGTGTAAATGAGCTTAAGTGTGTTGTGTGTGCACATGTGTACACACAAGCTAATTTATAAGCAGACCTATGTGTGATTGTGTAAGAGTGAACATACATGTGCGTAGCATGTTTGTAAGAGTGAGTAAATTTGTATATGTATGTGTGGACAGGTACCCAGCTATGTGTATATATGTGCATGAGTGAGGATGTATATGCCAAAGATGTGTGTGCATATGAGTGAGTTTGCATTCAGTGTATGTGTGCAGGTGCAAGCATGGGAAGTGCGTTAGGAGCATATATATTTGCAGGCCGACCATAGAGCAGGTGTGTGCCTCTATATATCCAACTGCACCTGTGGGGCATCCACCCACCGCTGTGTTACCCATGACCTACCCCAGCCTTTTTTCTCCACTGTGTCCCACTGCTTCCTGGAGAGAGAGGGCTAGCCTGCTGTCATTTATAGAAGGGTTGTAGCTGATCCATTCTCCTGGGATTTCCCAAGCTGCCTCTCCTCTCCCTTCCCCTCACCTAACCCAGACCTTGCTCTGCTAAGGCTATTGCCCCTGATGTTGGCTTTGCTATAAGAGGTTTAGTGGCTGCCCCGGCCTGCCATGGCATTTTTGCATGGCTGTAATTTTGTCAGGGCAGTTGGTGGAGAATTGGTATCAGGGAGGGGAACTGTGGGTGGTGATGGAGATGGTGGCAGGGGTGGGGGTAGAGACAGAGGAGACAGGGGACTATTCCTCTTGAATTCTGCCTCTGGGCACATAGGAGATGAGTGTGGAGGAGATGACAATGGCACAACCCTGTGAAGAATAGGAGAATGGGAATTCTCAAATGCCAGTTCCCAAACAAACCATACCTCTCCACTGGGTTGAAAACCATATTGATTTAAGCTTCTGATGAAAAGGAATGTGTGTTTATTAGCTTGCAAGTGATAGACATGCTGTTGGGGAAAATGTCACTTCCTCTCTGTGCCTCTACCTTGCTGTGCCTCTCTGGCTCTAGAGACATTGGAGGTCGAATTAATTTAGTCCCTTTCTCTGAAATCAGACTGTCAAGAGGAGCCAGAGTTTGGCTTTCCAGGGTCAGAAGGGGGCAGTGTTGTCAGCCGAGCCTCTGGAAGTTCTTAGGATACTGGGTCATGCCCCTTCTTTCACCGCACTGCCCTTGAAGCAGGGATTGACAGGCTGAGTTGGAAAGTGAGTGAGTCTCAGGGAGAACCAACGACTAAGGTAGCCGAGCTCTCTGCTTTGCTCCTGGGAGCCAAAAAAATGCAAGGTCCTGGTGGGTGAACAGTGGCACAGACGTCACCAATGCTGCCTCTGGCCCTCAGTGTCCCTCTCTGCAAAATGTGGGAGCTCTTCCTGTCTATCGCTAAAAAGTTTCCTCCTGACAGGTGGGTAGGTGAAAGGTAGAGGGAGCGGGGGTGAAGCATGGGCCCTGAAACTTGTGTCTGTACCTCTTGCATGTTGAGTATGAACCTGGCCACTGGAGCGACCCAGGAAGAATAAACTGGGGCAGAGAATTAAATTTCTTGAGCATGTGTTTCTCTTCTACCTGTTGTCTGGTAGCCTCTTTTCCACACCATCTGAGCTCCCTCTTTGAGCAGGGTCCTGGACTGGGAGCTCGGGTAGCAATAGAGGAAGACCCTGGAGAGGAGGAATTCAGACTCCCAGGCCTGGCAATCTGATGAGGTGGAGAAGTCTCTCAGGGGCCTCCCAGTCTGACAGGGAAGACTTGGCCTCTGCACTGAGAGCCCCATGCGGGATTGTCCTTGCCCTAAGTCACCTTTGGGCCTGAATAAATTGTGATGTCCATACCATACACATACTCTCTGCCATACTCAACTGTGCCCTGGAGTCACCTTTCCCTGGGGGGGGTGCCCTGACTGTGAAAAACTGAGCTGGGGTCCTTAGATGGTTTTGATATAGATGTTGTTAAAATGTTCAGTCACCTCTCGGTATCTGAGGGGATTGGTTCCAGGACCCCCCACGGATACCAAAATCTGCAGATCAAAAGTACTATATATTTGATTCATGGTTGGATTCGAGGATGTGGAACCTGTAGATACAGAAGGCCAAGTGTATGTACATGACTTAAGATATTTGTTGATGCCAATTTGGACTGTGTCTTCTATTTTACATTACTTTGTATGATTTATTAATTTTTTTTTTAGACAGAGTCTTGCTCTGTCACCCTGGGTAGAGTGCATTGGCGTCATCGTAGCTCACTGCAACCTTAAACTCCTGGGCTCAAGTGATCCTCCTGCCTCAGCCTCCCAAGTAGCTGGGACTACAGGTGTGCACCATGATGCCCAGCTAATTTTTCTATTTTTAGTAGAGATGGGTCTCGCTCTTGCCCAGGCTGGTCTTGAGCTCCTGAGCTCAAGCGATCCTCCCACCTTGGCCTCCCAGAATGCTAGGATTATAGGTGTGAGCCACCATGCGTAGCCTGATTTATTAATTTCTCAAAAATTCATAACTTTTTCTTTTGTTTTCTGTACTAAGTGGGACCCTCAGTTTCCTAGTCTGAGATTTCCCAGATCCAGGGCTGCTGGCTGGCCCTGGCCCTGGCTCAAGCCCCACCCTTCCTATGTCCAGTCGTCACTATAGTTGTCCTGGCCTCTCCTCCCCCAAATTCATTATTTCTATAAAGAAGGTATAGTAGTTAGCTACTGCAGCATAACAAATTACCCTAAAATTTCATGGTTTAAAACAATACATATTTATTATGTCACCATTTCTGTAGGTCAGGAATCTGAGCATAGCTTAGCTGGGCCCTCTGCATCACAGTCTCTCAAGGAAGGTGTCAGTCCCGGGTGTGTGGTCTCGGTTGGTGGCATTCAGTGCCTCTCAGGATGTTGGCTGGAGACCACCTTCAGTTCCTTGCTATGTGGGTGTTTCCAACATGACAGCTTCTTCAAAGCATGCAAACCAAGAAAGCAATAGAGTGCTAGCAAGACAGAAGTCACAATTTTCTGCAACCTTATTGCAGTGTCTTGCCATTTTCTATGGTTAGAAGTGAGTTACTTAAGGGGAAGATATTACACAGGCTGTAAATACCAGGAAGCAGAGATCATCCAGGGCCATCTTAGAGGCTGCCTACCATAGAGGGTATAACTTGATTGGTTAAATAAAGGCATATTTTATAGATTAGTTTTTATACAAATAATTATATTCTACTGATAAAAATTGAAACATTTCAGAGAAATCTCACGTCTCTTTTTGCTCCTTCCAACAAGGCAAACATTTTAAGCCTCACAAAGTATACTTCTTGCCAGGCGTGGTGGCTGGCCCCTGTAGTCCCAGCTACTCACAAGGCTGAGGCCGAAGGATTGCTTGAGGCTAGGAATTCAGGCTACCGTACACCATGATCACCCTCGTGGAAAGCCATTGCAGTCCAGCCTGGGCAACATAGTGAGAAACCCATCTCTAAAAATAACAAAGTATACTTCTCACTGAAACAGGCAGTAACCCAGGACATTAATAATTCTTATCATGTCTATACTTGACACTTAAACAGAAACAAAATTGAACCACTTTTAACAAATTCCATTTATTAAGAGCTGTTTTGGCAAAGGGCTATAGCTAAATTTGAGAGGTAATTTCTAACAATGAGACAATGTCAAGCCCTCAGAGCACAAGAGGGTGAATTTTCAGAAGTGTCCCTTTTCTAAATGTGCAAAGGCTCTTCTGAGCACAACTGCTGGTTAAGTTACAGACACCCTGGATTAGGACCTTGGCTCCATCATTTTCTGTTTGTGTGACCTCGGGCAAGTCAATTAACTTCTCTGAGCTTCAGTTTCTTTATCTTAAAGTGGGGACAATAATAATAACTACCTCATAGGGTTGTTGGAAGGATTAAGTGAATATGTGATATGTAAAAGACTTAGAACTGTACCTGACAAATAGAAAATGACATTAATGAGAGTTGTGATTATTATAATAAATAGTGCTTTTGTGATGCACAATTAACTTTTTCATAGAAAAACAAATTTTTCCTTAAGGAATTTTTTTTTTTTTTTTTTTTGAGACAGGTTCTTGCTCTGTTACCCAGGCTAGAATGCAGTGGCATCATCATAGCTCACTGCAACCTCAAATTCCTGGGCTCAAGAGGTCCTCCTGCCTCAGCCTCCCAAGAAGCTGGGACTACAGGCATGCACCACCACGCCCAACTAATTTTTTAATTTATTTGTAGAGATGGGGGGGGTGATTTGATATTGCCTAGGCTGGTCTTGAACTTCTGGGCTCAAGCGACCCTCCCTTCTTGGCCTCCCAAAGTGCTAGGATTACAGGCATGAGCCACCATGCCTGGCCGCCTAAGGAATCTGAATCTAAAATCTGAAAGTCATCTTTTTTTTTAAAAAGGCTTTTAAAAAATAAAGCTGCCTAATATTCCTTTCCATAAAAGAGATCTCTGAGCTGAGACAAATATGAAGGCCAGACCAAGGAAGCAGTGTGGTGTGTTGTATGTTTAGAGGACCCCTGCTAGTCACTGAGGGTCCAGGGAGAGGCCCAGCCCCTGGGCGGTGGCAGGTTTGGGAAGAAGACTGGCAAGAGCAGAAAGTCGGAGCCACAGCCAGGGTATCAGAATTTGGGGCAGGGAAACAGGGCTCCCCTGGCTGAGCCAACCCAGCCAAGAATTGTGGTTCCCCATCAGGTCTGCTGGCCACTAGCCCTAACCATGGGAAGTGCTGAGGCTACTGCTGTACCTCCCATGGGCAGACCTGATCTAGACTCTTTTTTTTTTTTTTTTTGAGACAAGGTCTCACTGTGTTGCCTGGGCTAGAGTGCTGTGGCGTCAGCCTAGCTCACAGCAACCTCAAACTCCTGGGCTCAAGTGATCCTCCTGCCTCAGCCTCCCAAGTAGCTGGGACTACAGGCATGTACCACCATGCCCGGCTAATTTTTTTCTATATATTTTTAGTTGTCCGATTAATTTCTTTCTATTTTTAGTAGAGACGGGGGTCTCGCTGTTGCTCAGGCTGGTTTCGAACTCCTGAGCTCAAACAATCCGCCTGCCTCGGCCTCCCAGAGTGCTAGGATTATAGGCGTGAGCCACCGCGCCGACCTGATCTAGACTCTCTAAACTTAGTTT